ATAACCACCTTTGCAAGTTTCTGATTTGCACTATTGAGAAAAACTGTGCTGTGCAACATTTGTGGTATATCATCGCCACCTCGTGGACTGAAAAAGACATACTAAAGGCTGTGAATCTTTTAAGGTGGAATTTTCATTGCCAGAAAATTGCTATTTAGAATTCAAATGAAACTTAATCATTGGAAACAACAGCAATAACCAGTCTGACAACATATTTACCTACCAAACAATTAGATAGTTAAAATGCCAAAAAGCATTTGATTAAAAATTATGAGTCAGAGTCATTGCTAAGCCCCTAATTTGGCAAAATTTTAGGCAAGCCACTAAACCCCTTTGAGGCACAATTCAACATCTATCAAACAAGGGAAGTGGATTGCACAGATTATACTTTTCTCAGTTCTTGCAAATGTGTGAATTTGAAATCCAAATGCAACTTACATTAATTTTTTCTGTTTTCAATATTTGTTATGTTTCTGGGTATATAACCTGCTTAAAATAGATGTTTTGTATCTATTTTCTCATTTATGATCAAATAAAATATCCATTTTTTCAATATTATTTTGGCCACATTTTCCCAAAAGGAGCACTTATGATGGACAACTTTCCCATTTCTAATTGGTAAATCCTATGGTACAAAAATATGAATCAATAGCATTACATGTTTATGAAATATGCACATTAATCATTTGTATAGACAATATTTACACTAGAACAATGCTAATAGCTCATGCATATTACCAGATTCCGTTATTTCATAGCTACTTGTTGAATACTTAATTTGGTATAGACTTCTTGAGAATTTCCATAAACAGAGTACTATGTCTGTAATATAAATAAGTGAAACACATACAAACACATAAGGTATAAATGAAATTTAACACTGGTGTGTTTCTTTTACTTTAAAATGCAGGAACTCTTTTATTTTCTCTCCTAATAGAGGACAAGAAGGCTTTTAAAAGGTCAAACTGAGCTCTGAGCGACAACAGTTTGATGCCCGGCCCGAGCTGAGCTGCCGCTAAGCTGCCAATAAGTAGCAAGGGAAGAAAGAAAAAAAGAAAAAAAAAAAGGTCAAACTGTTCAAGATAAGACTATTTTTATATCAAGTATTTTAACTTTTGTTAGGTCATCTCTACAAATAAAAATTTGTTAAGGTCTACAAACATTAAGATTTATGATTATATAAGTACATATGTATTTGATAAAAAGAAAACTAGAAATATGGTAGGGCTTAGGACAGCATGTGATCTTTTGGGTACATGTTCAATTCAAGGAGCAAACATTTCATAAGAGGGGGAGTGTGAAACTTACTAACAAGGGCCCAAGATCACATGTCATTTTTTACTAGTCCCACGTACACGTTTTTGCTTCTTTTGGTTTTGTTTCCACAGTAAAATACTTTTCCAATTCACAACTTTGTCAATCAATATACACATGTTATATTTATATACTTGTGTAGCCACAAACACCCAAAGAGTGCTGGTCTCAAAAAAAAAAAAAAACTAAGTAGATTAAATGTTCTTCTGAGCATGGATGCAGTTTTTCGAGCTTAGTAATTGGCAATTACTGCATCCATGCCTCTGTTGAAGCGATTAAAAAAGAATCATTTCCCAGAACTACAGGTGCAGGACAGATTGGAGTCGTTATGCAAAAGAACAGAAATCTGGAGAGAAACCCAGTGAATAAAAAAGTCATGTTCCTGGCCATCGGCTTGCCTTTAGCTCTCTGGTTTTTTTTTCAGCTCCATTTGGATAGACAACACAAAATATGCAAAAATTATGATGTATTTGAAATCAACCATTCAAGATTAGAAATCTATGTCTTGAATTAAACAAACTTCCCATAAGGATGCACTGAGGTCAGACATGGACTAAAGACCAAACTTGCATTCATGGATTTTAAAAGTTAAAGTTGATGTAGGGGAGGTGACAATTTGGAATATATTACATGAGTTTTTAGAAAATTACACCTTTTCTGCTGGTCTTGTGAATTTCCTAGTGTGTCCCAATTCAAGGAATTCACCTTTACCCTAACTGGTATGTTAGCTCTCTCAGCCCCCGGGGCCACCTCAACTATCTGAAATCTTGATCTCAAAGCCTCAGAACCTTCTTCCAGGAAAGAGATTTGAAAATATATGTTTGATGGCTTCGCCATCATGTTTTCATAGTTCCGCAGCCAGTATCTCATAAGCGTAAAGTGCTTTTCCTCAAATGTTCTCCCAAGTATCTAACCTTTCTTCTAGCTAGAAAGAACAAAGAAAATGAAATTAAAAATGTAATGGTCAGAAACCTCCTGTAACAGAGAAGGGAGATGTAAGAAATGGAAACCAAACTGAGAAGTAGGGATGTTTGAATGTTTTGGGAAACGACACTTGTGAAACAGAGAGGAGTAGATCTCTTAGTTCAGAGATGAGCACAAGGAGTTAGGCTACAGAATGTGGGAATGAGTGCGGCAGCTCATGAGCGTGTCTGTCAGCATCAAACGTGAAGGAGAAATGGAATGGCGTGAGAGAGGCTGTAAGAGAGAGAGAGGGCAAGAGGAGGCAGGCAGAAACAGTGTCAGAATGGTAGATGGTGGGAGAGTAGAAGAGCAAAGAAAAGAGAAAAGCTGGTCATTGAGATACATTGATATCTTGAGCTACCTTGTTAAAACATACAGGTAACTCCTGGGTTGGTCATTCAGCATCTAACTATGACAGAGACCTTAGAACAAGAAAATGATGTTTAAGAAGGCATCCTTTCCTAAATGTGTGGGGACCAAGGGTTGTTACGAATGAATTCACCAAGAGTGAATGAAGAGTTTTTGTCGCTCTGTGCGGTTCTTTCTCATCTGATCTTTCCTAGAGTGGAAAGCAGGCTTTGGGGGTTTTATTTTTTAAGTAGGCAATCTAGAACTCTGAGAGAAAAAGACAAAGTTGGAAAGTATTCTGAAAGCAAAAATTGGAAGAAGGAAGCGTTGGAGGACTGAAGGGGACGCTTGGCTGGGACAGAGTGAAGTTGGGAAGACCTGCGGAGGAATGAGAAAAGGGCCGAGATAAAACTTGGTGAAAACCGAGGGGCGGCTGGGTGGCGAGACTGGAGCCCCGGTTAAGGCCAGGAAGGTGGAGCACGCAAGTGTGAATGGCTCGGGGTCCACTCCGGGATTCGGCGGTCATTCTCACCATTGTCCCGTGGTTTTCCGCCCGTGGAAGCATTATGAAACATTTCCTCCCTCTGTGTCATTGAGCCCTCCCTCTGTTTCGATGGAAGTGCTACCCAGCTTTTTCTTAGGCACCTAAAGGTGGAGAGGCTCAGCTTTTCTCGCTTTTGTAACACGGATGCAGCCTTTTCGCTTCCTGATGGGAAGAGGAAGGAGGGGTCTGGGAAGGATGCCGACTTCCTAATTTCCCCACTGCACACTTTTCGAGGTTGAAGGAGGCGGGCTGGGAGGGAGCTGATTATTTCTCGAATGAAGAGAAAGCGCAATTCCCTCCCTTGGCTCTAGGGAACTGAGCCGCGTTCCAGATCACCTATTCCGGAAGTGTGAACCCGGGGCCCCACAGGGAAGACTCTAAAGGGGTGGATGGGAGAAGGAATGACGGTGGAAGGGGTAGGGGTGAAGGTCAAGGAATGCGCCTTTCAAAATCCAGAGCCTGGGAAGCATCCCCTGGCTGTCTCCACCCGCCCCCCACCCCCACCCCGGCAAGAGGCGTTGGGCCAACCAAGCTTTCCCCGAGAAAAGTTGGGGCTGATGAGAGAGAACGCGTGGCAGGCTAGGGAGATGCAAAGATGGGGTGGGGTATTTTTCTAGAAAGGGAAGCCCTGCCTCATCTCCCAGACTGGGGAATAGGGGGTGAGAGAGAGAGAGACCACGCAGGGACAGCTCCAGGACAGGGAAATCTTGGAGAAGGGACTCAGTTTTCCACCCCGACCTTCCCTTCTGGGAACTGCAGCCTAACGCGCGAACTGCGCTCCGGCACACGAGGGCCAGCGGGAAGGGAGGGTGGTCCTGGAAATCAGCCTGGGGAAAGCGCGGTGGAAGTGAGTACCTTCTTCCCGCTGCAGCCCCAGACTTACAAAGTGCTGGTCACAGCGCCCCTCCTGCGTCTTCCGCCCCTAGATTGACTTCCCGGTGGCGCGGAGCCAGCACTGAGGTCTTCCCCTCCCCCGCCCCAGGCCCGCGGCTCGGTCTAGCACCGACTTTAGGGGGCGGTGTCTTTGGGATGGAAAGGCGGCCAAGAGGGAGGAGGAAGGGGAGAGGAGGTGGAGACGCCTTTTCGTCCCAGGCTATAAAAGAGCGGCCTGGGGTGCCCGGTTCTTGCACTCGCTGGAAAGACCCTCCGCGCCAGGGGCCGCTCCAAAGCCAGGTCAACCAGTAGGGCCGAGAGGACAGAGCCCTACGCCGAGGGAGCAGCACCGCGGGCAAGGCGGAGGCCGAAGACGGGCTCCAGGCACCGATCCTCGCGTGGCCTGGTGCCCCCAGCCCCGGAGGCGTCCCAAGGCGCTTCTTGTCCCTGCAGCAGCCACCCCGCCAGCGCTTGCTGAGCAGTGCCACCAACTCTGCGCTAGAAGAAAAACTTCCCGCTCGAGGCAGAACTGCGGCGCCTCCTCCCAAGTGACTCCGGGAGCCCTGTCTGCGGTCGGCTCTGCCAGTACTTTCAAAGAATAATAATAATTGTTAACTTTCACCATCCAGAGAGAGGCCAGGGAGGCTCTGCACTCCTGACCCAAACAATAGCCTCCTCTCTCCGTGCGCTGCCGCGCGTGGTGCCTCCCAGAGCTCGGGTGCAGCTAGCGGTCCCCACAGGGTTCCAGAGGCCTGCGGCGGGCGGCGACATGGGGAACGCCGAGCTAGCGCGGGAGTCTCGGGGCTCGCAGTCTGCGCCAGGGCTGCTGCTGCTCGCGGCGGCCGCAGCGCTGCTGGTTGTACCCGGCGCGCACGGGCGCCCCGCGGAGGAAGACGAGGAGCTGGTGCTGCCGGCAGTGGAGCGCGGCTCCGGACACGGCACAGCGCACCTCCGCCTAGATGCCTTCGGCGGTCAGCTGAACCTGGAGCTGCAGCCGGACCGCGGCTTCCTGGCTCCCGGCTTCACGCTCCAGACCGTGGGACGCAAACCCGGGCCCGATGCGCTGCCTCCGGACCAGGTCGGCGACCTGGCGCACTGCTTCTACTCCGGCACCGTGAACGGCGACCCCAGCTCGGCTGCGGCTCTCAGCCTCTGCGAGGGCGTGCGCGGTGCCTTCTACCTGCAGGGAGAGGAGTACTTCATCCAACCCGCGCCTGCCGCCGCCACGGTACGCTTCGCCCCCGCTGCCGCCGCCGGGGAGGAGCCACCGACACAGCCTCAGTTCCATCTCCTGCGGCGGAGGCGGCGGGGCGGTGGCGGCGCCAAGTGCGGGGTTACGGACGACGAAACTCCGCTCTCGAGGGGCGCGGGGCCAGAGGGCAAGGACTCCGGGGAGCAGTGGTGGCCGAGGGACCCGGCGCCGCAGCGCGCGGGGCAGCCAACAGGTATAAGTCCCAGAAGAGTTACTCTCACTTGTCTGTCCATTCATCCCCCTCTCCCACTTTATTTGTGCCACGCGACTTAAGGGTAGACTCCAGTTTGCAGACCGGCCGGGGACCTGGTGTGGAGGAATGAGGCTTGAGGTCCCGCTAGCACACTTAATTCCGTTTGCCTGAATAATGAGTGGTCAAGACAGAACGAACAGACGAATCAATGATTTTCTGCTGACTAAGGCGAAGCGTTTGGACCAGGAAGGGAGAGTTGGTCAATCCAACTCATTCCACCTTAGTCGACTATGAGCGTGTGCAATTTCTTTCCATCCTGTTAATTTATTTTTATGATTGTGTATGTGTTCTTCGGTCACGTTGCAACTTTGCACGAGTTTTGTAACCGCTGCCTGTGCGCGCTCCCTGGGCGCAGAGGAGGGCGGGGATGGAGGGCTGAGCGATGGTGACTTCGGAATGTGCAGCCTGAACCTGCACGGCTGACCTCTGTCCCCTGCCACCTTTAAGTGGCTGACTCCCAGCGATTGGCTGGCAGTGGCAGTGGCCGGGCCCTCCTGCAGAACCTGCTTGGGAGGTCTTTGCCCAGCGTGCCCCGCCTCTCCGCGCCTGCCACCCGGCCTCCCAGTTTGCGCTCCCTCTCGCGGCCATAACTCTGCTCTCAAGCACGGTTGAATGTTAGTCACTGATGATCCTTCCCACTACACCTTCTCCCGACTCTCTCTGGTGTGTGCAGTGTTTACTGTCCAGTTCTTTTCATTCTCTCCCTTTGGTGCCTTTTTTCTTCTTTAACTTGCTCGCATGCCTTGTTTTCGAGTTCTCCACTTTCCCCGGTACATCAGCTCCTTGAAGCAGTCGTGTTGTGTGGGTACAGCCCAGTTGAGATTCCCGGGGGGCTGGGTCTCAGGAGTTCCAGGGCTCTTTTCCTAAATAGTCCATCATGGCCCTAGGCAGGAACTTATCTCCCTGGGGCAGCGGGAGTGGGGCCAAGAGGTTGCTGGGCAGAGTGGGTGGTCTTTGTGCCTGGATTTGGCAGGAGGATGCACCCCAGGGACCCCTGGAATGAGAGAGCGGAGCAGCACGGGGGTAGATTCCTTGAGGCCCGGCCCCTTGGCAGAGGCCCCAGCCCTGCCCTGGGCCTTCCACGTGGAGCCCCATGATCTCATTCAGGATTTGGGTCCCAGCCTGTGAAAGAGTGACTCAGGGCGCGCTGCCTGCTGCCCTTGCTCCAAGTTTTTACTACAGCTGGGTAGGATGATGTGCAAACTGCCTCACTCTGATTGTAGCATTTCAAAGCAGACAGCAGAAATCCTGCCCACCCAAATATATATATATATATTTTTTTTTTTAAATACCTGACCCCCTCAGAGGAGCACATGGCCCTTTTTATTTAAAGTAAAGGAGAAAATGTTAAATATAACATTTCCAGTGAAGAGAGATGCAAATATTTGTGTTATTGTTGTTCCAGGTGTATTTTTGTTTTATTTGCTTTGACTGGTCAGGCTTTCCTTATATAGTCTGGGAAGGTAACTATTCTTGGCTAGACTACACCTGAGCAAACTATCTTTCTTGTTTCCTTACAGGAAGTAGAAGCATAAGAAAGAAACGATTTGTGTCCAGCCCCCGTTATGTGGAAACCATGCTCGTGGCCGACCAGTCGATGGCCGAGTTTCATGGCAGTGGCCTGAAGCACTACCTTCTCACCTTGTTCTCGGTGGCAGCCAGGCTCTACAAACACCCCAGCATCCGGAATTCCATCAGCCTGGTGGTAGTGAAGATTCTGGTCATCTATGAGGAACAGAAGGGACCAGAAGTGACTTCCAACGCTGCCCTCACACTCCGGAACTTCTGCAACTGGCAAAAGCAGCACAATCCACCAAGTGACCGGGATGCCGAGCACTATGACACGGCGATTCTTTTCACCAGACAGGTGAGAAGATGACAGGACCAATTATGACAGGGTCCTCTTGGGAGTCAGCCTTGTAACAAATGTCTGTAAAGCGTTTCACCAATTTGGGGCACTCACATTTTTCTTTTTTTTTTACTTTGCTAGCATGATAAATCTCCTTATTTCTTCTATAGTTTTAATAGCTCAAGTTTTACAGTCCTGTTTGAATAGCATTAGGGAAAATCCTGATTCATGTCACACAGAGTACTCCTAAAAGCACAGCTCAACAACAATGAATATAGATCCTCCAAAATACATGTGAAGATACACCCTTGCCCAAAATGATCCCAAACTCCATGCTGTGTCCCTATGAATGAGGATATACCTTTGCTCCTTATAGGACTTGTGTGGGACCCAGACATGTGATACCCTTGGAATGGCCGATGTTGGCACTGTCTGTGATCCTAGCAGAAGCTGCTCCGTCATAGAAGATGATGGTTTACAAGCTGCCTTCACCACAGCCCATGAATTAGGTAAGTCGTTTTCAGAGTAAGGGTTAAGCCTGATTTATGAATTCAAACTGATAAACAATATATTAATTTGAGAGGGAGAGTCTGCAGATACTGTTGCTATTTTAGCTTCCAGGGCTCCTTAGAAACTGCAGGCAATATTTCTCTAAACTGTTCAAAACATGATCATCTTTCTTAAAATACAAAGTAAGATAGTTGGAGCTATGGACATTTGGAAGTTTGCACATTTGTTTACACCCTGTGAAAAGTAGACATTGTCTTCAAAATACTTTTTTTTTTTTTTCTGTAGAACTGTCACTTTGAGTTAGATGAATCTCTGTTGGGGGGAAGAAAAATTGCTGCAAATGACCTATATTTTAATGTGGGTTTTGGATTGCTTCTTAGGCCACGTGTTTAACATGCCACACGATGATGCTAAGCAGTGTGCCAACATCAACGGTGTCAGCCGGGATTCCCATATGATGGCGTCAATGCTTTCCAACTTGGACCACAGCCAGCCCTGGTCCCCCTGCAGTGCCTACATGATTACCTCATTTCTGGATAATGGTCATGGTAAGACGCTGCCACTACTCTTTCCAGATGGCACCCAACCCTCCATATGTGGAGCTCTAATTAAACCTGCTCTTTTGACTGTTTTTGTTCTTTTTATTTTCCCTCCTTCAAAATGACTTTCACTGCCAAGAGCATACATTTTTAGATCTCAGTTCCAGTAAAAGGCAGTGCTTCTGGCCAAGTAGCTCCCAACGTACATTAATTTCAATTTTTAGTAGTGCAGTCATTTCCTGTCATTGTTAATGCAGAAATACTCCCAATGAGGATAATATCTTAAAATCTTAATCGCTCTGGCATCTTCCCCCCAAAGCTCAAGAGCTCTCAAATCGCTTTGCTATATGTTATCTCTTAGGATAAATATTTTTCTGAAACTGATCTACCCCCTGTGTGCTTTCATAAATAAAGCAACATTTATTAATGTTGGTGGGCATTTTTCTTTGCAGGGGAATGTTTGATGGACAAGCCCCAGAGCCCCATACAGCTCCCCTCTGATCTTCCCGGGACCTTGTATGATGCCAACAGGCAGTGCCAGTTTACATTTGGGGAGGAGTCCAAACACTGCCCGGATGCAGCCAGCACATGCACGACCCTCTGGTGCACGGGCACCTCTGGCGGGCTGCTGGTGTGCCAAACCAAGCACTTCCCCTGGGCAGACGGCACCAACTGTGGAGAAGGGAAATGGTGTGTGAACGGCAAGTGTGTGAACAAGACGGACAAGAAGCATTTTGATGTGAGTTTTCTACTGCAACACATGCACCCAATTCGGAATTGAACGTAGTGATGCTAACACATCTGATGCCACGTTCAACACCGCTACCTGTCCTCTGGCTGGCAGGGCCCAAACTAGATGATTTTTATAGTTGATTCTTTGTCTCATGTTTTTCTTTTATTCCCTGACACAGTCTCTGTAGGGAATTCTAACGCTGATGATTTGTGTCCCCATTTAGACTCCTGTTCATGGAAGCTGGGGGCCATGGGGACCCTGGGGAGACTGTTCGAGAACGTGTGGTGGAGGAGTTCAGTATACAATGAGGGAATGTGATAATCCAGTCCCGAAGAACGGAGGGAAGTACTGTGAGGGCAAGCGTGTGCGCTACAGGTCATGTAACATCGAGGACTGTCCAGATAACAATGGTGAGTAGCAAGGAGGTGAAAAAGGTGTGTCCACAAAGAGGTGGCGGAGGGATGGAAATGGATAACATCATCATATCTTTCTCCTTCCAGGAAAAACCTTTAGAGAGGAACAATGTGAGGCACACAATGAGTTCTCCAAAGCCTCCTTCGGAAGCGGCCCAGCGATGGAGTGGACACCCAAGTACGCTGGAGTCTCGCCAAAGGACAGGTGCAAGCTCATCTGCCAAGCCAAAAGCATTGGCTACTTCTTCGTTCTGCAGCCCAAGGTAGTTATTTTTCCACGTATTTCCCGCCTAAACACCAAGGCCTTGGCTTGCTACCTTTTCATGCAACCTATGATGCACGTTAATTTGTATGTTAACATGTTCAGTTTCAAAGTAGAATTCCTTTCCTTCTAGATAGATACCTTGGCAACTGCCAGCTTTGAGGGCTTTTGGGTTTTGTTTTCCTTTCAGTTATGAATGAAGCTTGAACCCAGCACTTAGAATTCTTGCAATTGCTTATTATTACTTTGATAAACAAAGAAGAACCCTTTACTGCTGGTTAGATAAATTATATATTAATGTAGCAACCAACCAGCAGTTTTGGAAAATAGCCTAGGCATGGTCCCAAGTGCTTGTTACTCGGTGACTAGCAGTAGCATGTGCAGACAGACTTACTAAAATGGAAATCTGAGCATTGATACCTCTTGCACTTAAGGACATATATTGACCTAATTGAAGCACCATTTTGCTGTTTTGTTGAGGGAATACACCTGGCTGTGAAGTAGAAAATGGAATGGAATTTGGTTGTGATTGTCACGTGTCATTATCACTACAGGCTATAAAAACATTCCCCGGTTGCACATGCAACCTTTAGCAAGTGATTTATTTAGCACCTCCTATTGCCAGGTATTATTCTGGGCACTGAGGATATAGCAGTTAAAAAAAAATGATAAAAAGCTCTGCTTTCATTGACCTTAGCTAGAAATGAGATAAGTCAATAAAAAAATAATCAAGAAATGTGTCCTTTTCTCAGGTGTCTATATGTACTATGGAGAAAAAGACAAAGAGAAGGGGAGTGTGTGACGTGTATAGAGCACTATTTTATTACGATGGCCAGGAAAGCAGGGATGTAATGCCAATGAAGGAAAGTTCTGTCGTCACAGCGTCAGCTCTTCCCTCGTGAATGTCTGACACCAGATACATGTGCTTTCCTTTTCAGGTGGTAGATGGTACCCCGTGTAGCCCAGATTCCACCTCTGTCTGTGTGCAAGGACAGTGTGTAAAAGCGGGTTGTGATCGCATCATAGACTCCAAGAAGAAGTTTGATAAATGTGGCATTTGTGGAGGGAATGGATCTACGTGCAAGAAAATATCAGGATCAGTTACTAGTGCCAAGTAAGTTACAAAATGCCATACTCCCAAAGATTGTATCATTTAGATGCACCTTTTCACAGGTCTGATAAAAGTTACATTTCAGATGATAAAAGTTACATTCTCAATGATTATCCAGTAGGTTCAAGCTAAGTAATGTAATTAGCCAGCGAATGAGCCATTTTGATGTCTATGTTTCTTGCCTGCAGACCTGGATATCATGATATCGTCACGATTCCCACTGGAGCCACAAACATTGAAGTGAAACACCGGAATCAGAAGGGATCCAGAAATACTGGAAGCTTCCTTGCCATCAAAGCTGCCGATGGCACATATATCCTGAACGGTGACTTCACTTTGTCCACTTTAGAGCAAGACATCACATACAAAGGGAGTGTCCTGAGGTACAGTGGCTCCTCTGCAACCTTGGAAAGAATTCGCAGCTTTAGCCCTCTCAAAGAGCCCTTAACCTTCCAGGTCCTTACAGTGGGCAATGCCCTTCGGCCGAAAATTAAATACACCTATTTCGTGAAGAAGAAGAAGGAATCTTTCAATGCCATCCCTACTTTCTCAGAATGGGTCATTGAGGAGTGGGGGGAATGTTCCAAGTCCTGTGGACTGGGTTGGCAGAGGAGACTGGTAGAGTGCCGCGACCTCAACGGGCAGCCTGCTTCGGAGTGTGCGAAGGAAGTGAAGCCCGCCAGCAGCCGACCCTGCGCGGACCTGCCCTGCCCCCACTGGCAGCTGGGGGATTGGTCGCCATGTTCCAAGACTTGCGGGAAGGGTTACAAAAAGAGAACCTTGCAGTGTCTGTCCCATGATGGGGGGGTGTTGGCTCATGAGAGCTGCGACCCTTTAAAGAAACCTAAACATTACATAGACTTTTGCACGATCGAAGAATGCAGTTAAGCAGGGTCAGTGTTGAGGGAAAGATGAGGGAAGAAGGGCTGAGGCACTGAAACCCAGAAGGCTGAAGGGACCCAGTGTAACTTGTTGGTGATCAACAAGGTGTATCGATGAGTTCAGAGTGTAGTGGTAGGTAGAAAAGAAGTTAGGTCATCAGAATACCCGCCAGTTACAAATTTGATAGGGTAGTTACCATGGTTACTAACCTCTGAGGAAAAATATAGCATGATAAAGCCCCAGGGCGTTATTATTATTACTATTTTTCTTACATCTTGACATGCTTTTAAAATACATTATGACATGTTTTTTGTTGTTTTCTTTTAAATAGACACAATTGTCAAAATAAGTTTAACACATATTAGAATCCCTATTTCCTGGTACTGATTAAACACTTTATATCGAGGGGGGTGGGAAATGCAAAGCAGGAGAAATGTGAGATGTGTAGCTTAAGGCATGGCTTACTTTACCTCACTAACAATGGAGGGAGAAAGGAGTGCAAATGCGAGCTTGGGCCAGCACTGGTTTTGGTTGCTATGGTTTCAGAGAAGATTTATGCCACCACCCTTTCTTCCGAGAGTTAAGAATTCAAGAATTCTTTGGAGAAATGTTTAGCAACATCAAATGACTCCATCTTTACCTTTCTGTGCTGGTCTTCTGTTTTTATGTGTGAGTTCATGTTGACAAAGAAACAATCCCATGTATTTGTAAAAATGCATTAAGTCTACAAGGGGAAAAAAAGCAGCGATATAACTGGTGCTGGTAAAAACCCACGGGAGGCACCTCAAGCCCGGTGCCTCCCACCTTTCTTTCTTCCTTGTGTAAGCCTACCTTTGGAATGTGGATGTGAAGACTCTGTTTGAATCTCCAGAAAGTCAGCAAGATCACTCAAAAAGGATATAATGCCAGAACAAGAATGGGGTGTGCAGAAGCGGGTCCCCAGTGTTTGGGGACAGTGAGGTCATTTTTGTCTCGTGGTGGGGAGGCTGCTGAGGGGTAGCAGGTCCATCCCCAGCAGCTGGTCCAACAGTCATATCCTGGTGAATGTCTGTTCAGCTCTTCTACTATGAAAGAGAATGAATTTTTCCATATGTATATAGTAAAATATGTTACTATAAATTCTATGTACTTTATAAGTATTGGTTTGTGTGTTCCTTCTAAGAAGGACTATAGTATGTAATAAATGCCTATAATAACATATTTATTTTTATACATTTCTTTCTAATGATAAAGCTTTTAAGTTATATCGTGATTGTAAAAGGGCATATAAAAATAGAGTATTTATACAATATATGTTACTAGAATTAATAAAAGAACACTTTTTGAATGTGTGTGTATATTTCTTTAAGTGGGAATTTCTAGGAAGGAAATCTGAGACACAAATACTGAATTTGAAGAATGAGTATTCCCTTAAATTCTTTGGAAACAAGATTTCATTCCAATGAAATGTATTTTATGTATCCCGGATTATGTGACTGTTGTGAAGAAAGGAATCTATGGTATCTGTGGGGATACCTGGGCTTGTGACTAATGTATAATAATATATACCAGGGGTTGGCCAACTTTTTCTCTAAAGAGCCAGATGGGAAATATTTTCGGCTTTGGGGCCCATACCATCTGTCACAGCTCCCCAACGGTTGTAGCATGAAGCATGAAGCTGCTGTAGCTGTTGTAGCATGAAGATAGTCACAGGCAACACAGAAATGAAATGGACATGTTAGTGTTCTAGTGAAACTTTAACTGCAAAAACAGGTAGTGGGCCAAATGTGTCCTATGGGTGTAGTTTGCTGACCTCTGATGGGTACCACAAATCAGATGAAAAAAGGTGGGGTCCTGGAAGCATTTTGAATTTGTATCTCTTCCTGAAGGGTATCACATAACTAAAATGATGTGAAAATATTGAAGCTACTGAGTGGAAAATGATGCCTCAAAAATTACATTTAGGATAGACACGCACGGTGAGATAAACCTTTCAAATATTCCACTTGCTCTTTGGGGACCCCTCAGGTGTATCCGAGAAACCCTGGAGCACCCAGGCCACCCTGGGGACCCTTCGGTAAATCACTATATTTTAAATGCTGAACGGTACATGGTGATTTTAAATGGTGATTTCGAAAGTACAGACTGCTTCCAAAGTAACTACATTTCTCTCAGGAAATAGTTTATTTACTAGATTTGAATTATGTGGTTAACCACAGACATTTCCAACTTTACATTTTCAATCTTTTCTTTTTTACCCTCCAAAGAGTTTTCTCAAGTACTTCTATATAACACGCTCATTTCAGATTCAGATGATAATTTATAACTTGCCCTCAGAACTACTCAAAGTGTTATTCCCCTGAGCAATTGAATGTAAGATTCTCGGGAGCCAGGTGTATAGGTCAGCGAGTGGGCCAGGAAAGGGGAGAGTCATGTTAGCCTGGTTAAGTTTTTAACTACCTACTGGGCCACTGGACTGAAAAGAAAAAGTCTTCTTACACTGTGGGAACTAGTCTTGGTCCCATAGCACTCAGCTAAACACTGAACTTGGCCATGCAACTTAGCGGCTTAACATGCTCTCTGCACCAACAATCGCTATCACAATTACTTATGTGCTTTATTACTACGGCACACAGTAAGTGACATAGAAGATGCACACACACAAGAAATGCCCTTATCCTCAATGACCATACAAACTATTTGATAAAATGAGATAAGTGTGCCAAAATGATAATTGATAACCCATCACATAAAAAAGTCACTTTCAGACCTTGCCTAATTCCCTGATGAGTTGTTTTTTATCTTTCTTTCTTTTAAAAGTCTTACATTGGTTTAATGTAGTAAGCGAGGAGATAGAAGTTCAGGACACAGAAAGACAGCCAAAAGATTTCCCACCTTTCTCTATATTCTCAATGCCAAACAACTTTCTGAGCTGCCACATCTTTTTTTTTCCAGCCCTCTGTTGGTGAGATTTTCCTTTTATCAGAAAACTGTGCAGTTTAAAATACTCGATTTTGGCAGTAAAGAGAGTTTAGTTCAAAACGCACATCTGGTTCTGTGAACTTGACAGGTTACCTGCTTAACAGGGAGAAAGATTTGTGCTCACTCATTTACAGGGATAAATGATGAGCTGGCATGATGTTAAGTATTAATTAAAATACGTAATTTTCAAAGCACTCAATGGGCACTTTCTCTCCCTGATATTTCAATAACCAATACAAAAGCACAAATTTTGGATCAGAGGTTTCATGCAAAAATTGGGAAAATCGCTCCCAACCTTTGGTCCTTGTTTAATTTGTCTTCTAGAAGAGGGCACTATAGATCTTTAGGTGATTTAGGAATAAAAGATAACAGCCACAATTTGCTAATCTCATTGTTTTTCCACATGAAAATGAAATAAAAATTATTAATATAAAGGTTATGGGTGCTCGATCTATCAAGGAAATTGACCAAAGCTACCCCAGTATAAAGTGTAGTCGGTTCTGCCTTGCACATGCTTTTGTGACACGAATGAGCTCAACATGGCATTGGCAGAAATGGAAACAATAAAATCGAGAAGATGCTTTGGTTCATCAAAACGTTCCCCACGTAATAACTTCTTTATAACTTCTCTTAACAGCAGTGGAATGTAAAATATACTGACTCATGAACATGGCAAGTCACAGAGGAATACAGACGTATACAGAATGCCCGCTCACCCCACTTGTCTCCACTTAGCCTCAGTCTTGGAAATCCCTAATATGGTCTCTGTTCAATTTGCTCTCAATGCCTGCCGTAACTCAGAAGTCTGAACTTTTTCTTACGCCCTCGGCTATCAATCCCATTGCCTGTATTTAAGGGTAAATTTCTATAATTATTTGTTTGGAACTTAGTTTTGTTTTGTTTTGTTGTTGTTGTTGTTAGCTATAGTAGCTCTTTTTCTTTAGGGTTACTGTTGTCTTATATTCTACAACTCTTAAGAGAAGGCACACAGCAATTTATGTGCAGGGACGGGAAAGAGGTGGAGTGTAATTTATGCAGAATAACCCAGGAAGGCTTCTTCAGTAAGGAGGTTTGGGGGAGGAAACCAGGGGGGTGCCAGGGGACAGCTCTCTAAGGGGTGAGATTATCATAAAAAGGTGGCCACCAACTTCTTGGACAGGACAGCAAAAGGCCAGTGTGGCTGGGGCTACGAGGACAGGAGGTCAGTGGAGGACAGAGTGCTTGTTCCACAAGAGTAGGAAATATGTTTGGGTTTTGCTCTGAGTGAGAGGTGGAGCCGCGGAGGAGATGCATGGTGTGACTTAACACTTTAACCTGGAAGGGGGACCAGATTGGCCACTATTGCAATAACTGTCATGTGTGATAATGATGGGCTGAACTAGAGTGATAGGTAGACATGGAGGTCATAAAATGGGGCCAAACTCTGCAGTTCAAGATGTTGAGATTTGCAGACGGATATAGACGTGAAATGGGAAAAAAATCATGGATGAGTCCAAGGTTTTGTGTTTTTTGTCCTGTTTTTTTTTTTTGGGGGGGGGAGTATACGGCGGGAGGGTGTTCTGTGCAACATGGATGTGCACTACACTCTACTTAAAGAGCAACGGAAATTAAAAATAAAAAATTTTTACTATGTCTTGAAACCAGTTAAACCCATAACTAAATGTAAATAATTGTTGAAAATATGGTTTCAGAATTAACTGGAAATATAAAAATGGTAGCTAGAAGATATATAGTGGAAAATATTTTAATAATAATTCAAGTCTAAAACCATATATCTGTCATATTGACAATATTGTAACAGAAGGAAAGAAACTTTGTATATTATATTGAAAGTCATCAAAGGACATCATTTAATTCTTGAATTAGATAATATAAATGAACGCTACTTCTTGGAAACAAATACCCCAAAAAGTCTCTTCATGCAGACAGACCTATATATATGGGTAATATATAACCCATAAAGAAAAGAATGGAAAGCAAAAAATAAAGTGACAGATTTCCAACCACATTATCATGGCAATACATTGTTTAAACTTGCCTATTAAAAGACAAACATCTTCAGGATGTGTTTAAAAATAAAATCCAATAACATGATAAATAGAAGAGAACTATCTAAATCAAAATGACATTTCTTCAAAGAAGTCCAAAGAGTTACCAGGCAAACAGTAGGAAAAAGTAGGAATAGAATATGATATCAGCCAAAATTACAGTTAAGGTAGAAAAGCACTAAGCAAAATAAAGAATAACATTTCTTGTGGATTAAAGGTAGAATCTACAATAAAATATGTGTCCCAGATACTAGAACACCTATGTATCAATTTAAAATTGTTAAAAATACAAAGGATAATCAACAAGTAAGGATTATTCTATTTGTCTTTAAAACTCTCTCTAGGTAAGGGCCGACCAAATACATAAGAAAAAAAATGCAAAACTTTATGAAGACACAAAAGAGGATTGGAATAAAGCAAGAGACATATACATTTCTTTCACTCTAAATCGTAAACCTTTTATTTTGTCTTTAAATAATGAATAGATTTAATGAAATTCCAATCACTAGCCACTCATAAAATTTTGGAACTTGAGAACATGATTCTGAAGTTCTTTTGAAGAAATCGATTTGGTGAAGATAAAGAGCACCACACTGACCTGATTTGAAAATGCAGCATAAAGTTACAATTAGAAAAAAAGTGGCACTTTAGAATTATTGACAAGTTGTCTATGGGTGAGAAAGATAGCTCAGAATAAATCTTAGTAACCACAACCACAAAACATTAGTATAT